CCCCTCCATTCCGGCCATTGCCACCCGCGGCCGGCGCTGTCCTGTGGGGCACCGGCACCCGGGCCCGGAGCGGCCCCGCCGCAGACGCGTGGCCGCGGCCGCCCGACCTCCCCCGCCGGGGCCTCCCCGCCCCACCCGCGGCCCCAGCCCGACCTCCCCCGCCGGGCCCGCGGCCCCCGCACACGAGGCACCATATGGCAGCGGCCCGCGGTGGGCCCGGCCCCGCTCCCCGCCGGCCCCACGGCCACTCCCGGCCCGGCGCAGGGCGAGGGCCCGGCCGCACCTTCACGTCGTCCTCCTCATCCTCGCCGGCCCAGCGGTCTCCGGCCACTCCCGGCACCAGCCGCTTCGCCACCGACTCCACCACCTCGAAGCTGTCGGCATCTGTAGGGAAGAGGAGAGCGGGTGAGAGCGGTGAGCGCAGGGGGCGCGGACCGGGGGCACCGGCGGGGGCAGCGCCCGCACCTACCCCACGAATCCACCGCCTCCGCCGCCATCTTCCCCGCCACCACTCGCAGGGCACGGTGAGGCGGCCGCTCCAGAGCGGCACGGCCAGAGCCGCGCGCGGTGCACGCCGGGACGGTGGCGGACCGCCGGAGCTCCGCCCACCGCGGGGCGGGGCGGGCGGCAGTGGTGGAGCTGAGCGGCCCCGGCCCCGGCCCCGCGGGCGCTATCGCGGGGCGGCAGCTGCGGAGGGAGAGGGTCCCGATGGCGCGTTCCGGGGGCCGATACCGGTGAGTCCGGACCAGGGCAGAGCTGGTCTGGCCGCGGCCGCACCGGTGCGGGCCCTTCTCCCTCCTCAAGTGACAGCTGGGAAGGTCCCAGGCGCCTCCCAGAGCTGCGGGAGCCTGAGGGGGAAAGGAGAGGGAGGAGGTGAAGGCGGCCGCTTGAGCACCCGCCTGGGTTTAGCCTTTGGCCAGGCACTACAGGTACCAACAGCTACGGAGCTGCAGCTCAGGTAACCCCGACCAGAGCAGCACCAACAGCCCAGCGGCATCCGCACCTCCGTGAGCTCCCTTCGCCTGAGGGCAGTTATGGAAGTGCCAAGAGCCGTGGAACACGATGAAAACCGTGCCTGGATTCACACAGCACACCTCAGGTCAGTTCAGCGTCTGGAATAATGAGTGAGGAATTGCTCCCATTGCGCAGATGGGGAAATGAAGTCGCAAAGGCCAAAAAACCCCACTCGAGCCCAGCGTGGAGTGAGGGGAAGCACCCTGGAGGGCAGCAAATGGCTCAGCCTCAGCATCTCTGCTTAGGAGAAGAAACTGACACTGTTCATCCCATTCCTGCTTTATTCTACTCACAGAATGGGTCTGAAAGCCCCTTTTAACTCCAGTCCTCAAAGCAGTCTCTCGGTCTGAAGAGACACACGATGGATTCCTTCTCCCAGGAAGAGGCACTTCCAAACCCAAAGCCATTCACCTGCCTGCCTGTGTGACTCCAGTTTTTCAGGTATTGGTCTGTGAGAAGGGGTTCCATGGCATGAAATACGGAAGTGGCCTCACTGGGGATCAAAGGTGCCGTCTGTCATCCTGCCACACACATCCAAGGAAGTCCCTTCACCAGAAAAATGCTGCTTGTGAAGCCCAGTGCTCTCCGTACAGTGAAGGCATTAACAGAGGAGTGATTTGTGTCCCGTGGCACCTGCTGGCACACACTCCTCCCTCCGAGCTGGTTTCCCACAGTAGGTACTGTCAGTTTTAAACCGGCAGCAGGATGTGGGTGTTTGCTCTGGGGCTTTGACTTGCATTGGGTTCCAGTTTATCCATCTGCACCACACAGGCATTCATTTCACGTGGAAATCCAAGCTTTGCAAAGGTCTCCTCTCCACGTCCTCCAAGGGGAGCATCCCAGGAGCGCTGCAGCGAGTGGGGGGATGAAGGCACAGTTCTCTTTTCTCATTCCCCATACTTGGGCAGTCTCAGCACTAATCCCATCCTCACGTGGGAGAGGAACAGTCCCAAGGGGCACAGGGCTGGTGCAGGCTGGGGCTTGCCTTGGGTCCTGTAGAAACATCCAAGTTCCAATCCCATCATCTACTTCAACACGCTGATGTTGACTCAGGTTTGTTCAGGCAGAGTAAAGGCTACGACTGGCCACACAGTGCTGTGAGGAGGGCAGAGCCAGGAGGAAAAGGAAAGGAATCTGGGTATTTACCTGGTAAAGTCACAATGGGTTTGTGTTTCTGGACGGGTCTCTTTACTGCACAAGCAACTCCGCTGCTAAAGGCCCTGCCGGAGGCATCCACTCACCCTCTCCTCACCCACAGCTTCCTGGTCTCACACTTGGGCATCCATTGGGAAGAGCTGCACACAGGGAGGGGACACTGTGTGTGCCATGGAAGGATGCTGGCTTCTTGCAGCAGGAGCAGCCCCAGGTTTGCCTCGTCCTGCTCCTGCAGCCCGGCTGTGGCTGCTCAGGGGCTTTGTTTGAAGGCAGTCTCCCTCCTCAGTGTGCCTGTGCTCCACAGCACTCATGTGGGAGACCTTTAATCAGGTCTTGCCATGTTCCAGCCTTTCAGATACATTCCAAAAGTAATGACACGTTTTCCTACCCAGATGGAAGGTGAGATGAATCAGTGGTGGAAAGGAAGCTAGGAACACCGAGGTGCACACTGTTCTAGCTGCAGAGCAACTGAAAAAACCCCAAACACGTTGAACATGTACTGCCAAAATAAGCATGAAAGACATTACTTTGCTGTCAGAACGGAGAATGCTCCAACCTCCAACAGAGTACATATGGACACGATTGCCAGGCTCAAGGAAAAGGCCACAAAACGAGACAAACTTTGGAAATAGGATGCTGTGTTTTCTAAGATTACACAGAATTGGAATCAGGGATAGAGCTGCAGGACTGCTGCACAGCTCTGCATGCAGAACTCGAGCAGTGCATGGAGTGGAGCCTCCCCACCACCCGTGCCACCTCTGGCACACACAGTCCATCTGGACCCATGTCAGAGGTAAAGCTGAGCCTCCCCCTCAAGACTAACCAGGTGAAACTAGACCCTGAAGGGTTATACCTTTGCTCCATGCAAAGAGCCTTCACAGCAGGGTGTTTGACGTGTTCAGGAGCTTACATCTGGGGAAGGTGGACTCATTCTGCAAAGGAAGCTCAGGGTGATAAATACCAGACTTGCAGCACATTACAATATGACTACTTCCTATGTTCAGTCAGCAGTCTCTGTTACTTCTGCTCTGCAGTGATAGAACTAAACCCTCTGCTTACGTTTCCCCCCCCAGACACAGCTGTAATGTGCAACGTATGCTTTGGTTTCCTCAACTAAAGCAAGCACTCCTAGAATGGGTCAGCCAAAGAGAGGACCCACGTGCCCAGGGACACGCTCTGAACAGATGATGGTCTCTTTACCGGTAGAGAAGAGCACGAGCTACTCAACAAAACCCTCTGGCTGAGCAGTGAACCTTGAAGCAGCTCTGTCCTGGCACTGACTTGGGAGCCAGGTGGCAGGATTCCACAGCACGCAGGCATTCACTGGTAAAGGAGTTCACAATCCCAGGTTTAGGTTTACACTGTAAGGAACAACCGAAGAAAGGGTTGGCAAAGCATGGAGCGATTCAAACCCCGACCGCTTTCAGACCCCACAAACACTTGAGAACCATCTCATGGCCACAAACCCGGGGCGGGGGGCTGCAGGAGGACGCGTCTGTGCAGAAGCAGATATAAAGGTCATGTTATGTACAGTTTATTTCAATAAAGACATAAGACAAACAGCGTAAAGATGCCCAGATGCCCTAGAGATAAATACATTTAAAAGATTCTCATTAAAATGAATCCATAGTATTTCTTTCCTGCAAGCAAAATACCTTTCTTTAAATACAAAAAAAATCAGTATTCTGAATTGCAAATGTTTTCACTTCTTTTGCAGAAAATCTGCCATGATGGTTTGCTTTTTAATGAGGAAGGATTTTCCACAAAACAGGCTTGCTCTACATGCTAAGTTCTTTAAACAGTTCAGTGACACAATGTGCTAGCTACATACACAACAGAGAATATAGTAAGAAAACACTCAACCTGATGAAAAGTTAAAATCTTCATTAATACACTGGAAAAAGTTGACATAACTCATGCCTTTTAAAATCAAAAATACAAAAATTAAATGTTTTCCTAAAAAGATTTTCCTTATTTTAAGGACTCATTTGAAAATGAAGCTGCATGTAATTTGTACAATAAAATTGTACAAGTAAACAGGTAATATACATAAAAAATTAATTGACATACTTCTCCCTTAGCAGTTGTCCACCTTTAATCTCCAATACTGTACTTTCTGAACAAGCATACAAAATATCAAACTTCTCTTTAGAAAAAGTGCCGTTCTGTGACATCTCTTACACAAAACCAGTCCGAGCCTGGGCCGTGGTCATGCGGTCGGAGGCGTCCAACGTCTGCAACCTAAACCCTCGGGGGAAAGCCTCCTGCGGAGGAGATGGACTCGGACTCACCGCTGGAACCGCCCGGCGCCGAGGCTGCCGGCCCCTTCCCGGGGAGCGCAGGGCCCACGGCGGCAGCGAGGGGCTGCGGAGCGGGGGTACCCCGGGGTTGTGCGTGGCTCCGGCCGGGTACCCCCGCCCTGCACGCAGCTCCGCAGCCACCGGCACCACCACCAGCAGACACAGCGGCAGGAGCCCAGCACGGCAGCGACCCCGCCGCCCGGCCCCGCGCCGGTGCTGTGCTCCTCTCCAGACCTGCACCCACTGCATCGTCTGAGGTATTCCTTGTCCGTCTGTGCCACCGCGAGATACTGTCTGTCCAGCGCACGGGCCATCAACGCTTTAAAATAGTCTGAATATTAGTAACTCTTACATCTTCTTATCTAGCCAGTCTCTTGATTTGCTGAAAAGATTCCAACTACAGTAGAGTATTACAGAAAGAAAAGATAAATGCAGGGTGGGTTTTTTTCCTCTTTCTAAATGAAACTTACGTGGGCTAAAACTAGAGAGTATTTTTAAACAAATATACAGTATGCAGGCAGACAAAGCAGGAAAACGGCCATCAACTGTTTAATAAAAAACTAGGAAAATTTGGCTATTTCCAGAAAAACTATGAAGCGCCTCAACTAAAAGGAATGCATAATGAAATTCTAATCTAATACAGGTCAAAAATGTAAAAAGGTTATAAACCTTAACAGGAAAAATAAAACAACTTTTTACTGGCCATTCCTGTTGAAATGAGAATCTTAAAAGTAACAGAAAAGTGGCTACAAACCCACTTAGAGCACCGAACAGAGAGAAAACACGAGTCCATTTTCAATCTCTGTTGTATCATAAAATCCTGTGTTTCTACAGGTCAAACTGCTGGTGGCAGAAACAGAATTCTTTATAAACCGCAGATGTCCTGGACATACAAAAACGTGTTGGAGTTGCACTAGTTCTAAAGACTCTTCTGTTCTAGCCTACCCACGGGCTTGTACGGTGGAGTACTGAACGTGTTCAACCTCAGCCATAGAAAGTCTCTTCCTGTAACCCTTGATTATTGTTGGGCACCAAAGATAAGAAAAGCAAGACGGGGTACAAAAATGCAAAATTTCAACAGTAATGGCAATGTTTTGTTTTAGTCCAAAAGGGTCCTGCATTTTCTCCCCCTTCAGTAACGAGGCAAAAGGCTTTAATCGGGGGGTAGCAAGTCATGCAAGCGAAATCTGTCTCTGATGTGAGGTCGGACATCTTCATTCTGCAGGGAGGGGAGAGAGAAAACAAAGGTGCAGGTTTCAGGACACACACCTCTGTAAACCCCACTACTTCAACAAGGTCAACTTTCTACCACTGGCATTTTAATACAACAAAACATAAGCAGTCTCCCACTGCCTAAAGGGGCCAACGAGAAACCTGGAGAGGGGCTTGGGACAAGGGCCTGTAGGGACAGGCCAAGGGGAATGGCTTGAACCTGCCCGAGGGGAGACTGAGCTGAGCTCTTAGGCAGAAGCTCTTCCCTGTGAGGGTGCTGAGGCGCTGGCACAGGGTGCCCAGAGAAGCTGTGGCTGCCCCATCCCTGGCAGTGCTCAAGGCCAGGTTGGACACAGGGGCTTGGAGCAAGCTGCTCTAGACCATACAAATACCTAAAAGAGATACCTAAGGTTTGGGCAGTGGGTGGGGAAGAGCCACCTCAAGGAAACACTTACCAGCTCTACAAGTTTCTCCAGAAATGGAATCAATTTTAGGAGTTCATTGTCATTTTTATCCATGAACCAGCTTTCTATAGGAATTCCATTCGAAAGCTAACAAAGAGAGAATAAAACCATCAACACATGGTTTATACTTAATTTGTCTAAAAATGTAACTTGTGAAATAGCACTCTGAGGAAAAATGTTTCAAGCTGAAGTTTATTAATATATATTTTCCCTCTGAAGTTTGCACTGAACTTCACTTCCAAAATGCCTGCTTCCTTTGCATACCTCACTACACAGATTTCCACCTCAAAGCTGCAACAGAACTAGCTCTCAAAGCTCTGCAGATGGGAAAGGCGCTGCTGTTCTGAGGCACCCTCACACTAAAGCACTGGTGGATGCTGTGTGTGTGCAAGTGAGGCTGAGCCAAAGAACTCTTTGTTTTGCTGCTGCTTTGATGGAGGTGAGACGTTGGGGATCCCTCTCTGCATGTCATCCTCAGTGTGACAGGCTACCTGGCTGCTGGGAATGTCCCCCACCCAGTGTGTAACCCCATAGTACCTCAGCAGGAGCCATTTTCACAGCTGTGGTCACCTCAGCCAGAGATCTGATCCTAATCCCTTCACTAGCATTAAGGAATGAACTCCATGCTAGAGACCAAGCACCAGACTGCTGGCTTCTGCCAAACAGCTGAGTGAGAAGCAAACGTGACGGGTTACATGGTTCACCAGAAGTCACTCGCTTTGCACTTGATCAGCTCTTCACTAAATATAAGAGAAAGGCAAGCAAACCTGGCTGCTTTGGTAGGATTTGGCTCACGAGCCATGTGGAAGCTGTTAAATCAGGCTGCAGTGTTTCACCTCTCCCCCAGCAGCACCATCCTCACCTGGTAAGCAAAGGCTTGCGGTGAATTGTCAATGATGATGGTTTTTGAAAGGTCTCTACCAAGAATGTTTAAATCCTTGATGTAGTTTCCTTGTACACAAACACAATGCTCGCGGAAGAGTCGATGCCTGCAAGTAAAGCAGAACACTAATGAATGACACCAACTTACACAGCATGGGGAAGAGCTGACTCTGCCAGACGTTAGCCAGTTCTCCCATCCACCAGCTCCTTTTAAAAACTCTTCCCTTTTTCCCGTTCTCTTTTGAGCTTTTTCCCAGTAAAATGACCATTGAAGGTGATTTTACATCAGCCTCATTCTGAGGGCAGCTCTTTGTATTTACCCAGAAAAGCTCCACTCGGATGCAAGCAGTATCTGTGAGCAGGGCCCCCAGACTATTGTGATGGATCAACACAGGGACCCATGATACTCAAATGGTTTTGCAAGGCTCAAAGAGCAGAGATTCATCCTGCACAGGAGCCAACTTACTGGCTTTTATTGTCCTTTCCTTTTGCTGTCACAGCCTGTGGCCTCCCCACACCACTACATGCCAGAATACCATGTACCACAAGTGTCCTATGCTACCCCTGCTTGCAATTAACCTATTTCAGTTATTAGAACCTGAAAAAAGCCTTGAAGCCAAAACATTCCAGTGAGTTCTTCCTTTCCCATTAGCCTACTCCCTTTCCATTTATTACACAAGAAATGGATGGAGGGACTAAAAGGACCCAGTTTTAAAACAAACCAGGAATAACACATTTCATGGAGCATCACTATAACTTAGAAACAAATTGTAAACCAGACAGATGTGGGCTCTCACGGGGTTACTTCAGCATGCAGTGTCTTTAATGCTGCTTGCATTTTTAAGTGAAGCTTTCAGAAGCTGCACACAGTGTGCTCAGCTTCAGAGAGGGGCTGAGTTCCTAATGTTGCTATGGAGGAAAATAAGCTGATGCCTCAGCAGCGAATGAATTTAAATATAGATTCTGAGTCACATGTGTGGAGCGCTGACAAGTCTACCTTGAGGCTGATGCCAAAGGGACTCATGCCTCCATGTCAGCTTTTCAGTGGCACATGATTCACAGCTAAATTCATTCATCACATGAGTCTTTGTGCAGTTCTCAGAAGACTCTCTGGCTGTGTGGTTTGTTGCCATTCCCCTGCTCTAAACCCAGCTCTTGGAGGAAGATTTTGAACACTAGGGACGCACACTTGGACATGCAACCTTCCTTAACACGCATCCCCTCTGGCCGTGTGACGCAGGTAAGCTCAGACACTCCCAGGACTGGAAGTATCTGAAAGCCCAGTTTTAGCTGCCTGCTCAAAATGCAGTGGCAAGTCAGGCTAGCAAAGCCAAAGCAGGGTTCTGCTGTGCACGCCGTGTGAAAACAAGCAGTGAGATGACTGTTCCTGGATGAAAACCAGCAAACAGTTTATCTTCACACTCATCCAGAAAATGAGTTACTATGTGCCCAAACTACCCAGCGAAAACAATGGATGCAGGCATCATCTCTGTCCAAATGGTTGCTTTATTACGTGTGTAATTAAAATCAAGTCTTTCCTGACAACTATTACAATAAAATGCTGCGGTGACATACCAAGGGCAGCATTTACACAGGCCTGGCCCTGTCCAGTTTATGCCCTTACTGGGGTTACCCTGTGCAGGTGAATCCCTGAGAGGAGTCCTCTTTGGATTCAGCTTCCCCATGTAACATCCCACCTCCTAGATAGGAATAACAGGAAGAATCTCATCCAGCACAACATCTTTCTGCCCTAAGGAGCTGTTCTTGCAAAATGCCCATCACTGCCAAGCAAACTTGCCTATTAGGAAATGAAAAACTAAACCAGCTCCAATAGAAAAGCCACAAACAAATTACTTTGTGAGTAAGAAAGAAAACCATGCTGACTGTAAGGGTAACTATACAATTCACAACTTATAAGCAATCAGTAGTTCAGACCAAATGAATGGCTATGGGGTTTGGCCCCAGAGGGCGGTGTGAAGCTGCCTGGATTCATTCTACCCCCAAGGCAATAGCTCCATTCACTTCATTTTTCTCTCACTCTTAGACCAGACAAACCCACAAAGACTCAGTTCAGTGAGACATGCCATCAGCACATGCTTCAGCACACTGGATGGGAAACAGCACTTAGTTTGCTTAGAAACACCAGGTACATTCAGTTTTCTGGGTTTACCTGACCAGTTGCTTTTTAGGGTCTAGTATGTTCAATAACTTGTCTGCATACACCTTCTTAGAAGCGGTAAAAAGAATGATCTGTGGATTCAAGAGGGAAAAGCAATCATTTTGGGTATAAGGGTGTGAATATAATTTGACAGTGAAATTCAGAGGTAGCATCTGATGGGTTTTACCTCATAAATCTGAGACATACGTTCCAGGAATTCTCGGAAGAATGGCCTTAATCGGACATACACCTGCAGCAGAAATAGACTTCAATGAAGATTCAAAACACCTCAGCTATCACCTGCACTAAGCACCAGTTTGTAAAGACAAGGTCAAAATGAGCATTATGAACAAGGTAAACAGCAAATACTGACTCCCTGCAGAGTAAGAACTGAATTAAACCAATATTGCATTAGCTCACAGCCCAGGCAGCTCTAAGTGAAAGCATCAGGTGATAGAATCAGGCTTAACAAATTCACTGGAACATTTGGTGGAATTAGAAATAACTTCAGCTACAACCTAAAAGTTGGACAAGCCAAACCGAAACTGGTTGCTTTAAGCAGACATCCTGAATGAGCTTCACCAGTTGGACAACAAGCCAAACCGAAGCTGGTTGCTTTAAGCAGACATCCTGAATGAGCTTCACCAGCTGGACAACAAGCCAAACCGAAACTGGTTGCTTTAAGCAGACATCCTGAACGAGCTTCACCAGCTGGGCAGCACCAAAGCAGCTTCCAGCTGATGTGTGCCAGCACTGAAAGGGTATTAATGCTTTCCCTGCACACAGATTACAGCTGCTAATGGGAGTAGGTAGAGAGGATGGTATTTGGTTTGGAGATCTTCTTCAAGGGCTTGATTTCAAACTGAAAAGCTTACCCCCCGTTATGGAAGAAACACAGATGTCACCTCAGGAACAGCCTCTTCAGTATCTCTCCTACAAACTCTCCTGGCAACCAAAGCGGGCAGCCAAGTGATCTGCCAGTACTTCAACTGCTGCTGATCTCATTTATTGTTCCTTTTACAGCTGGATGGAACTGTATCGGTCACAGCAGCCAGTTACAAGGGGTTTTAGCATCACTGCGTTAGATCAGAGATCAGTTACGGCTGTCGGGCTCCTCGGGTGGACACTGCTCCTGCCTTGGTTTTTAGTTTGGTTTTTTAGTCCTGGGATAACCGCAGCATTGTAAGATGTTTTAGTTGTGATACTGCCAAGCAGTTATAAATGGGCATCTACCTTAACACAACCTCTATCTCAGTATCGATCTTTCTCTAAGGTGACATCTGAATGCAAATGAGAGATCCAGGAAACCCACTTTCCTGTCAGAACCTGTATTTCTCATTGCCACTTGCACAAACACACACTTCATTTAACAGTGCCCCCGGGTGCAGGCTCACTGCTCTGCTTTCTCTGGCTTGCGGCACTGGCACAGCGTAAGGCAACGACATCACTGCCCCAGCTACACCGACCTGGCACAGAACTCTGACCCAAGCAGAGGAATCAAGTAACCAAAGCAGAACAAAACACATCCCTCCCTGCCATGACTAAATGTGAGAGTACTTTTGAAAATAGAAGCCTAACAGTCATTTTCACTGGTTTTAATGACTGGAAGTTTGTCAACAGCAACACGTGCTGTCGCCTGCTTCAAAGTCACTTCACACTCACAAATGAACAATATGTATGCAAAGACCCCTCACAGCTCTATAGCAGGTTTTCTTGGTTATGTTTCTTCCCCCCCAAACGATCAACTCATGCCATTGTTTCAATGGCAACAAGATCTGAACTGTCAGTGTCTTCCTTGTTCAAAACACACAGGACTTGAGCTCTTTCCAGGTGGAACTGGAAGGAAACAGTATTCCTTTCTGCGTTAGAAAACCTGAACAAGACACGTGTGTTCCACTTGGTGCCAAAATCCCTGGAATTACCAGACAGAAGTGCCTGAAGCGCAGCCAGCTGTGGCTCTTCAAGGGCCAGAAGTGTAATTCTAGAGGCTCTACTGGACTAAAATGAAGTTATAGAATCAAATAGGTTGGAAAAGACCTTTAAGATCATCAGGTCCAACCACTGAGTGAATGCTGCCAAATCCACCACTAAATCATGTCACTAAGTGCCACATCAACATGAGACCTATCCCCACCTCACTACAACCTCCTTTCAGGTAGCTGTAGAGAGTGTCTTCCCAACCTAAGCCCAGATTTCTTGGTGGATATGCCAAAGAAACACCAATGCTTCCTGGCCTCCAGATCCAAAGCTTTATGGCTCTTCTGATATTCCCAAGAAACAGAGGGGGTCACTCAAAGGGAAAGCCAGAATTCCCAAGCATTGCTTGCTTCATTCCACTGCAGGTACAAAGTAAAGCAGTGATTGGTGACAATGAGATGGAACACATGTAACCCTGTATTCAGTAACTACAAGTGACCTATGGAGTTCCATAACGTCTTTCAAGGATCACAAAAGTCAAAGGGAATTATTCTGAGGCAGAGCAGTAAAGATGCACTTCCAGTGAAGAACAGAAAGGACCTGCCTTTTGACTACAGGCAGGGAGCAGGGAAGGCAGCTCCAGAGTGAAACAAAGGGAGGAGACGATCTCATACGTGGGACCTGAAGTCAGCAACAGAAACAAAACCTCTTTACCAAGAAAAAGATAAATTGCTTCAGAAGACAAGCTGCTTATCTCACTTATGTAAAGTAAGACAAAGTCTGAAGTCTACAGCTGAAGACCTGTCATTGGTTTTTGTTTTCCAGTCAGATGGAAGGCAGCACTTCACAGCGCTTAAGAAAACTTGAGCTGTGCAAAGGCTGGATTTTTACTAAGCCCAGAACTTAAAAACTGCCTTAGAGACTTTTTTTTTTCCCATGCAGAAAACAGGAACAAATTCATTGCCTCAGAAGCCTGACCTAAGCAAGCCCAACTGTGCCCGTCTCACAGATAGCTTTTTTAATAGAAATCAGCTCCGTGACTCAACCCAAGGTTTAAACCCTGTGTGTCAGTGCTGGAATCACACTAATGTCATCTTTCAGCTGGCAGAACGCTGCTCCATGCTCAGTTCTTCTGCGTAACTCCAGGGAAGTTGTGAGAAATCACTTGGAGCAAACAAACCTTTCTTTAAAACCAGACCCTCACCTGCAGTCACTGAAGCAAGCACCAAGAGAGCCATGTTCCTGGATGTAAAACTTGTGCTTGACTCACAGGCCAATGGAGTTTGGCTGGATTTTATAGGAGGCCTTCTAGAACCTGAGCCAGTCTGGTTCTTATCATTGCAGTACCCTGGGATGGCCAGGTCTGGAACATCTTTTCAGGAAAGTGCCTGGTTTGCCATACTCTTGCTGCAAGAGCACTGTCTTGATGCCTTCTGATTGGGAAGGAAATGGAAATGCTATGAACCCAGGCTCCCATCTGCAGTATTAACCAGGCCTAATGTGAGAAAGAGCAGATATTCAGCAGCAAAAGAAGTGCTGTTTATTCTTTCTTAAAAAGAATGAATAGAGAACTGTCCAATATTTCTGGAAAACCTACATGGAAGTGGTACATAATACTAATGGAAAACATCTTCAGCAATGTCTCTTCCACATCTTGGAGTTTTTCAGTGGGATATATTATGCAATCCTTTATATATAGTAACTTGCTGGCTTCTACTTTGCTGGGACAGCTCAGTTGGCTGCTTCTCTGCTGCCAGCTGAAATTACTGCCAAAAGGAAATGCGGAGATGTGAAATCAGCACAGGGCTGGTCCAGAGGTGCTGGTCAGACTGATAAGCAAAAGAAATACGCAAGAGAAAGTTTTATAAGCTGGTAAACAGCCACTCACTGACTAAAGCTGCTAAGAAGGGTATGAAATAACAAACTTCTTTCCAACTTTCATCACAGAAGATTTTTGCATATTAAACCCTAGTGAAAGATGAACTTAACTGTACCCTTAAGATACTCATCTTGCTTATTAGCTATTACCTAGTAAGAGATGAATGTTTGTCAGTGTCTAGTGATGAAAAAGCAGTAAAAACCAAATAGTGACCAGGAGAGTGTGCTTGAAGATAGCAGCTGCCTTTCTCAGGCCTGCAAGAAGCTACTGTTCCTCAGCAAATCCAGGCTGGACTCCAGAGAGAGCTAAGAGAAAACTCCAGCACCCACACAGTAGCTGTACTGTGTCAAGGGCTATACAGGCTTGTGTACAATGCCACTGAATAAAGCTTTAGAAATACTGCAAGTCACTCTCTCCATTGACTTCAGTTTCCTAAAGGCAAAAGCATAAACACACAGTCACTAAAAGAGCCGGTTATAGACAGAAAGTACTTGAATCATACTGAGATCTAAGAGAAGGAAGGGAAAACCTGAAGCTTTAGTCTTCCTGATGCTGTTAACAGTGTCAAGAGCCTCTAAAGAACTACTTCTAATGCTCCTTCCAAGGTCACCCTGGGAAGGAACTGTGCATGGCCATCACCAACTAAGTGATATGATAAACCCATGTTTAAAGTTTATTCCAGATTCCAAAGGGGTTTATATGCAACAGCAAAGAAAAGCACTTTTAGAATCAGGAAAAATACCAGGACAAGTGTCCTTTTAAGATGCCTGATGACTGCCTCATTCTTCAAAGACACTACAGTGGGGTCCAATATCGTGTGAACTACATGGTGGGGAAGCTGTGGCTGCTCCCACGTACACCACACAAAGGGACCTGAGAACAACAGCCTGGATCAGTGCAGCATCTCTGGTAGTTGCTGGAAGACAGCTCCTTCTTCCCACTTGTTCCTCTAGAGCAGGTCAATGTAAGACACACACAGCAACCATCTCCTGAGGCAGAACAAACCTGAACCCTAGCAATCCCCACAGGACAGTCAAACCATGCTAATACCCAGCAGGCTGGGTACATCACTGGGGAGTAACGAAGTAGAAGTGGCATTGGTGAAGTGTGCAACAAGACTGATGACTGGTCAGAACCTATTCAGTGTCAGGTACTGAAGATGTCTTCTCTACAGAGGGAAATGCCCAGCCAATGTGGACTGCTTTTCCCTGCCAAGGGAGGAATGTTAACAGTTGGCAATGAGCTGCTCCTGGGCAATGGCTAAACCACTGGTGCTCCTGCCTCCACCTGCAGCATCTCTAACCCAGGACAACCCCATCTGCCAAAGATGATACATTTATAACCAGACTAGACAGTTTGTTACCTCTCTTGAAACAAGACGGTAACAAATACACACAGCAAGAATTCCTATGTTAAAAGCTCTGTATTTTTCCATGCACAGTAATTACCTGGTAAATGACATCTTGAAAAAGAACTGGAAAAGTGAGTGCAGCATCTTCTAATTCATTTAGACTACAGTGCACTAATGTTTCATCCTATTAAAACAAGAAAAGATGGCATAAAGGAAAGAAAACACTGTGAAAGGAGTATTAAAAATAGATGTGAGTTTCTGGATTTTTATGCTCATTTTAAGGTAGGTTTATTTAGTCTAGAAAATATTTTTATGCAAGTGCTGTCAAGATTGAAGAACTCTTAAAATGAATAAATCCATTATTCTTGCAGGGTTTTTTAAATCACAACTGTGCACTGGGGGCACAGTTATAAGCAGATATCTTCATTTTGTAGGCTCTCCTGTCAGTCAAACCTGCACCCATCATTGTGAATAACATATCTGTTTATAGGGCACCAGCATCACTTGCCATGATAAACTAAACTAATGTTCCTGCAATCATTAACAGGCTCTGAAACGACTTTTCAAACAGGGAGACAAAGAGAACTTATTATCAAGACAAATATATTTTCTATGGATATTTGAAAAATCAACTTGTGACCTCTGAGCATAAAAACGTTGTAAGAATTAAAAGATTTGTTCTTGATCAACCCTGATGCAAGACACGAAGCTGAATTTTCCCAGTTGTTCCATCTCAGTTTTCCCACACTGGATTTAGGAAAGCTTTATGGGGACAGATAACTCTTTGTTTGAGACAGTAAGAGTTGTAATGCTTTTCTTCAGGCAGGATGCTAAGCACGCAGCCCGCACAACAAGCTTTCTGCTCTCGCCACTATCATCTTTTCCCAATGCAAACTATATTTAACTGAAAATTGTGTAACATTGACAAAGCCTTTTTGTTGAAAGCAAACACTTCTAATTTCAGCAACAAACAAAATGACAGAAGTGCTGCAGAGCCCCTGCTTTTGGAACGTGTTTATAACGACACTTACCAAGTCTAGAACTAAGGAGAATTCTGGTGTGCTTCTTGTTTTCAGTGGAAGAGCTGGCTTCCTGTTCAGTTGTTCTTCTGTTAGTGGTGGAACGTGTTTGATGAAATAATACCTGGAAAGAACACAGATTGGGCTGTAGATATTTATCTCACATTCATTACATTATGTTGAAGCCCAACTTAATATTTCAAATATTTAAGGCTGCACAAGACGTATTTTAAATTGAAAGAACCCCACATCAATATACACTTCTTTTTTTTTTTTTTAAGTTAAGAGCTTTTGGAGTTCATTTCCATAATATAAAAATCTTCCAACCTAAATAAGAACGCCTTAGTCTAACACCCAAAGCCACCAATTTAGTATTTGCAGTACAAACAGTAGCACTTACGGATCAAAGACTTCCCAGTCTTCTTCATAGGTAGCTTCTGCATGGGCTGATGAGTAGCCACTGTCTGGAGATACTGGTGCTAAAATTCAACGAAAATGACCAAACCAAAAAATAAAACAAAACACCACAAGAGCTGGTCTTATTAGTGCAGTCTGCAGAAGTGACAGCGTGCCCTTGGTATGCCATGCCCCAGACAGCAGTGCAAATCTCTCCCTGCAGCCCACCCTCTGTCCCCATGTGTCCTCAGAAATGGCCTGCACAGCTCCCATGGAAGCCACCTGAGAGCCCAGTGTCCTCTCACGCCACAGAACATCATGACCTGGCTGAGCTGGGAGACCCCACACAGCCTCTGGTGGTGGCTGGATGCACACACACACCAGCCGAAGAAGGTAGGCACAGCTCTTCCACCAGCACCTCCCACAGCTGAGGGGCCCTCTGGAAACACAGCAACACACCAGACCAGAAGGTCTGCACCAGACCCATGTATCCCACACCAGCCCCTCTATGCAGAGGTTAAATTCACTTCCCTGGAATTTCTAATACAAGAGATCAAAATGCTGCAAATTGCTCTTCTGTGATCAGCAAGCTCAGGATGTGCATTTCTAATGGAGTGGCAGGCTTCAGTATTCATTCTGGAATCTTTTGTTTTCATCTGAGGAAGTGTTATGAAGTCTACTGAGCCGTACTAGGAATAATAAGCTTTGACAAAACTGTGTCTTGGGTGCATAAACCAGGTTTGTCTATTAGAATAAAAATCACTGTTCCTACTGTTTGCATGCCCTAAGCAAATGTGAAATATTAGTTTCTAGAGAATGCAGGTGTTGGGGTTTCCCAGAGAGTACAAATCACACACAGCTTCTACACCTGAGTGCAAGGCAAGCACAGGTTTCTTACCTGTAAGTGGTGGCAGGTCCCGATCATTTGTTTCCTCCACCTCTTCCAAACCATTGTTGACGGTGGACCTGACCTGCACTGCTTGGCTCGTGTAAGCTGCCCCGTTGGTTGATGTTGCAGTACTTGTGGTAATCTCATCAACCTGTTCCATATCAAGCTGTTTGACTATCTCTTCAGCTTCAACAGCTTGTCCTGGAGAATCTGATCCTGATGTTCCTGGATTAAGATTTCAGTACATTCACAGTCATTAGCAGGCTGAGTTACCCACCAGAATGCTGGTATTACCAACCACACAAACAAATGATTCCAGAATAACTGAAGACAGTCACCTCTGACCCATGTTACAAAAATAAGACCCAAAATGAAGGTCATGACAAGTGCCTCTTACGTTTGGGACAAGGAACTTAATACCAGTTACTATCACATTTTTTTAATGAAAGATACACCACTGGGTACTTACACCTATAAAAGAAATAGCCTAAGGCTTCTTTTATTAATTATCAACCCTTCAAACCCTTGGGGAGCCCTTTATCAGGCAGTAGTAACTCCTGGTCTGTAAATCAGCACGTGAAGCGTACTGCTACTCAAAAGAGCTTGTTCCTGAAAACCCCTACCATTCTGAGCTTTAACACGACCAGATAATACTCACCATTTTTATTTGCTGGTGAAAAAAAATTGAAAACAGGAGAAAATATGGTTCCCAGTAACGTGGTTCGGGGGGGGCTGCCAGTGGTAGGATTATCTTCTAGTTTCCCATTTTGCTTTACATGTTGGTTTGTCATTTCATAACTTCCAGCTTCTGTAAAAGAAAACTCATGAGGTACAACGCCACCCTTCTGGTTTTCACACATCCTCCCTTTAATCAGTATCATTTTCATCATAGGAGAGATCCCTCTTGTTTACAGTTCAACTTGGGCAACAACAACAACAAAGCAGCCACCCAGTCTCGAGATAAAAGCTTAGCACCATCTCAGCCCTACAAATTAGGAAGCACTCCTTGTTTATAGAAATTCTGCTACACATTAACAAACAGTAGAAGTTTTAATCCTTTAAATGAGCTTGATAATGGAAGACACTTCAAGCAGCTGTGCATCCTTCCCAGCACACAGCTGACAGTATCAGTGGGGTTCCACTAGATGGAGGCAAGAGAAAGTGTCAGTGAACTCCAGTGCCTGGAACCTCTAAGCTTCCCTATAATTAATGCTTCCCACACACAAACACACATCAAATACGGTTATGAAGTAAAACCCTTTTTAGTTGTTATCACAGATAACAAAGGGCACAGAATAAATCTTCACATTACAAAACAACACATAACAGTAAAGGTTTTCCATAAATGTGCATGTGCAGCAAGGTACATCCTAGAACTAGGAACTGCCATCTCAGGCCTGAGCTCCAAGACACAGCTCTGAGCCTGGAATAAAGAGGAGTTATTTACTTCCCAGTAACAGGTCTCTGTGCTGTCTGTACAACTACTGCAGCAACACAGGATTAGAGTGTTCACAAACCTCCATTCATCTGACTTTTCCGTCGCACTCGAGAGATCTGTTTGTTAGGCTTTTCTCCTGCTTGAGGTGTGGATGTGATCAAGTTGTTATCGATATCCCGCTCGATCCTACTTCTTTTTGCAGGATTTTCTCTTTCTTCCTTAAAATAGAAAAGGAGGAAAAAAAGGAACATACTGAATAGTGCCTCTTTTCTCCAGTGGATACTACCAGAAAATGTCAGCTGTTAGAGGAAGTTTCACAAAAGATCCATTTATTGTTCCACTTCTAGATGCACAACATGCGACATGTATCTGGCCAGCTGGACATTCAAACTGACACAGCTCAAGGTAAACAGCAAAATATCAGGAAAGAAAACCTGGAACTTCTGTAGTAGAAAAACTGGCTTTAAGTTCTATTGCTCTGGATAGCCCATTTATTAATACTTGAGTGCTGTGCAGCTTGGGATCTGTAGGTACAAGGCAACTAAAATTACAGGGAACTTGATTTCTCTGTCTGTGAGACATCCAGGAAGCAAAGTTTACAATAGCCCATGTGGAGGTCGCCACCATGCTCCCTACACAAAGTGGGTTCCTCAGTTGTATACCTGGACAGAACCTGCTGCTATCCAGTCCCTATCAGATGGCAAAACTCAGCTGTTAAGAACACTGTAGACAAGGGTTATGGCTCAGTGAGTCTTCTTACCTTAAGTAAATGGCTACTCTTTGCTGTGGCACTTGCATGAATGATACAGAACCAAACATTTTTGCCCGTTTTCTGTGCGTGAGTATACATACAGACACCCATGTTTAAGACCCAAACCATTCTACGAGTGTATTCCATGATTCTAAGACAGGTTTCTTGCTCTCTTCCCCCAAAGCACCTACTACAGCTTAATAAAATGGCAATCTGAAATCTAAAGCAGAACCATACAGAGGACACTGAAATGTAAGCTGTGAGACAATGCAAAATGAATTACAGATCAAAATAAATGAGGACAGAGACCATGCCAAAGTCAATGAACATTTCCATTTGAGAGTTACAGAATTACCCTCCTGGAACTGCAGTTTCACAGCTTTAAAAAGAAAAAAGGTTTTGTGTGCTCCAAAAAAAGTAACTGGATCTTGTAGAAAATTTAATCTAAAGCCCATGTGAAGAGTACAGTGGCTGAGAGAAATACTAACACACATGGAAGCGGGCTGCCATGTGTCTCCCTGACCTGATATAAGAACAGGATGGCAGCTCAGCTCCTAGGACATCTGTGCAAAAGTTCAACACTGGGGAAAATGGGGGAAATTCACTTGTAAAAGCTATCAATTGGCCTTCATAAAATGAGCTGTGCTCTTGGTCTGCTTTATGGAAAACAAGTGTAGAAACACTCTAATAATTACACTGGCAACAGGTACCAGCAGAGGCAGGAAGAACTCACTGACCTGGGAGGTCCCTCTCATGCTCCAGAAGAGGAGCTGTCACAATGTGGTCAGACAGCTCCCACTGCTGTGCCTGTGTTGTACTGGTCAATAGAATTCAATTGTGAGATCAGTGATGATGCTATTGTGCTACTTGCTTTATACACTGAAAATTCAATTGGACAGGTATAGGATTAAATGTACCCTGTTTTATGTATTTATATAACAATCTATTTGAATTCTATGATCTATTCAACTCAGGATAACCCATTATGATCAATAACTGTGCCATAAGAAACACGGTGATGTCACACCAACACAAACATGTTGTTTGCTGTTAGGTTGCTTGCAGAAATCCCGTGTGTATCAGGGAATGGGCTACACTGAGTTGGAAGGTTGGAGCTCAGTGCACTGTCTGACAGCGCTAGTGCTAGAGCCCCAAATCAGGCAAGTTGAGAGGAACCTCTACAACATCTCCACTGTTAATATTTAGGAATGCTCACAGTACTCCCCACAGGCACCCATGTAGTGGTTTTTCTGGTGTATCAGATCTGACATTTTGGAAATGACACTGTTGTGTTCTCCATGCTATTGCTGACTTGCCAGTGGGCTCTGTGCTAGTAAAGGACCTCAAGACCAGACCTGTCACCATCCACACTCAGAGCCATATGTTAGTCTCTGGTTTCTCCAACTTGAATAGCTTGAGGCTTTTTCAGGGTCTGTTTGTTTGAGGAGTATTTCCAACAAGGCATCTTTACCACACCAGATAATGACCTGTGACTATGATCGCAACCCAGATATACTTGTTCCAGAGACAGTTATTGCCCTAAATCCACATCCCCTCAGTGCACACCCAGAAAGAAGCCACTCCTCAAGTCATACCCATGCACTATCGCAAAGAGTTCTAACGTTTCCATGGCAGCCTCCAGACTACTTGGTTAAGTCATTAGCACTCTGGAAGATAGCCCGGCACTATCAATATCGTGCCATACTAATGCCACTGGAACCACTCCAAGTCCTGCTAGGAGAGGACATGAAAGGAAACAGAGGAAAATGTGGACACTTTATATTAAAAAACCTGTCAAGGAAATGAAGAACAAAATGTAATCCAAAGCTTTGGGAGAGGAAGAGAAGCGGGGGAGAGGGAAAGTGAACCCAGCCTCCCAGAGACAAAGGGAAGGAAAAGCAGACATACTTCCCTTATCTTAGAATTCCAGCCTAAAATGTTTTGCTTAGATTTCAGCATTTATTGCATGGGTTTTGCAGCCAAACTGTTGCACTGCTGAGCTACATTATCGATGGTGAATGCAGAAGAGATTAATTGTCGTGCCGTAATGAAAACCAAGATGTGATTTAACCCTTTCTCCTCACTGCAGTGCTCCTTTGTGGGTACCTCAGTGTTTCTACGGCAGTTAACACACGCCAGGAAACATGAACTTCCACTCTAGTTTTACAATTTAAGAAGACACTGTTACTTTAACTGAAGTTATTTCTACTTCACCTTGTTACAAACTTAGGGCTTCAACACTTGGGTCAAACCTCAGAAAATACTTCAGGACTTTCGATTTTTAGGTCTCATCTAGTTACTTTGGGATACATTTTAACTCACTTCTGACTTCGTGGCTACTCTTCTTTACAATGTACAGCTACATAATGACAATGGTTGGGCTGCTGTGACCAAATTAAACCTCCTTTTTCAACTGGCCTCCCTTCACACAAAAGAAACTTGTTTCTTGAAGGCTTTGGAAGCAATTGCAAGGTTACATTCAGCCCATCAAAGTTACATATATATATATATATATGTGTGTGTGTGTGTTTCACTCTCAAAACATACATTAAACAGGTTCTAACAAGTGAAAATGAGTAAGGTTGGGGTTTCTGAATGAAGACAGCTGAGATACAGTGGTTTAGCCCTGACAGCGTTTGTTTGACCCGCTGAGGGGCAGCATTCACTGTAGTAATACACTGAGTAGTCACAGCAATGTCAGGAGAGTTGAACTTGTGAGGTTTAACCTTTATTGACTGAGGAACTCCTACACAACTGTGAATCAAATGGCTAAAATACTGAGCAACTTCATACTTACAGAACTGCTTTTCTTAGTTGCCAATTTTGGTAATTCCTAAGTTTCGGGAATGCTTCAAACAGAACTTAAAAATCTACTGAATTTATCAGTCAACGTTTTCACAAAGCAATACCTTGGTGGTAAATCCTGGGCCTTCCTGAGCTGCCTTAAACACACCTACCACTGACTCCTGTAGGCTTTGCAGGTCTGCTCTGGGTCATTTAATACCTGCTACAACCAGCACAGGGGTTTGCTGTCTTCTAACTCTTGACAAGTATCTCTTGCTTCCATCACATTAAGAACAATTTCTTACAGAAACGTTTTAAATCAGATTTAACTGAACGTGCCCCAGTGAAACAGCAAAAGCAGCAGCCCCCTGCTGCGTACCTTGGGCGTGCTTCCTTTGATGAACTTTTTGATGGATGACAGCAGGCCGGTGTCATTCTTGGCGGGCCTGCCTCCGCTGACAGGTAAGCTCTCCTCCACCTCCGAGTGTTTCCTCTTTGCCCTCAAAGCACGTGCTTTGTGGATCTGATTCGACTGCTGAGAAGCTTTCCGCGTTCTCAGCCTCATTTTCCTGTGTACCACATGTAAAGCTATAAAAGGAAAAAACACCAGGAATACTTTAGTCATTGAAGAAAAGAACTGAGCTCCAGAGCCTGAATTCAAAACATTATATAACACTGACAGTGTTCTGATGCACTAAGCTTTTACATCATGTAGATGGCTTAATTTAAATCAAAGAGAAGAGCTATTTAAGTTAAAGCGTAACACTGGCAGAAGAACAAATGAGTATAATCTGGCTGTGGGTACATCTAACCATTAGATCAATGAGGTTTTTGCATAACCCTCCAATCCAAGTAGTAGGAACAAAAATTCTACCTGCTTTTAAGATGAGGATTGTGTGTTAGCTGGTGTCTTCAGCATCAAGTGACTAGACCCAGTGACCTAGGCAGCCCTCTCCAGCCCTGTCCTCCTCATAATACTTCATTTTAAGTCTCCACATTAAATTTGAGCTGAGGCATAGATCTATATTCATGTCAAGTGTTCATAGAAGAAGAAATGAAACAAGACTGTGTATTCAGCTTGGTGAGGGTACAGCAGCCCAGCAACAGAACCCACGATTGCTCTTCAATACAACTCTATCTGGGGATAAGATCCAACCACAGCAAAACTTGTGCAAGGGTGATATTTATTAAAGCTGACTAAAGGACCATTCCAGGGAATGTGTCCCATTTATCTCTAACCTTTAACTGGACCCCTGGTACAGCCAAATGTAACTGCTCATCTGGGCCGAGGGACACTTCTCCAGCTGACAGAAGCTCCCACTCAGGTCAGTTTGAATGGGGGCTACTCCTGTGCTTAAAATGATGCACAGACAGGATGAGGAGCAGAAAAAAAGCAGCAGTAAGAAATCCCTGCGAGCTGTACTGCACACAAACACTGGTAAGCCACTAACAGGCATTTCCCAGCTGAACTCATGGCAAAAAGCATTTTTTTTAAAGGAAAGCATATGCTTATCCTGATGGGAATGGGTATTTGCTTTTCTGAAGTTCATTTAGCAGGCATCTTACTGCTGAAGAGACAGAATAAATAGTCTGTAACGTTTAAAATACAAGCAATGTCACAACAGCTCTTCTGTTCAGGAAAAGGCAATGGTGGCACTGGAATGATTCAGCCACACTGGGATAACAGCCTTCAAAAGCTGTTCACAGCTAATGAGGAATACAATAACTACTGACACCACTGCTGGAAGGCTTAGCAGAAAAAGTGCTCAAGTGGTATAGTCAAGAGTGAAGTACTTCACTTACATACAATATTTAACTGCCAGCAAACAGGGGATTTCAGTTCTCAGAGGCACATGTCCAGCACTTTCCATCAGCACATCATACAACTGTTTTCAGGGGAAGTCAACATTCCTAAAGGACAAAGCTACAGTGGAAGTGGACTCGTATGTGAGGTTCAAGGGAAGACAACAGAAAACCATAGTCTACATTGATAAAAACTGGTTCTCACAACCTTGTGTCCTCTAGTAACAGAAGCATTAGAACTCCCAAGTCCATGAAAGCATCTTTTCATTATTAGTATTTGCACTTTGTTTAAAAGGATCCACTGTCCATGGAGGAAAGCGATGCAGAGAAATAATGAAAATAATCCCAGAGATTTTAGTTCAATTTCCTGTCCCTGCTCCTTGCACCAGGAAAATAAAGAGAAACATTCCTATAGCAAGACATGAACTCACCCTGCCCGTTATCAGAACCTGCATCTCCACTTTGCTGTCTCACAAAGCGCTGCCAGGGGAAGTTCTAATTAATCACCTGTGGTCTCAAGCCACTCCAACTGCACAAACTACAGTCAACCCTCTGTGCTAGAAGCAATCTGCAAAGGGTGTGTTACACACAACAGCAGCAGTCAGAGAGATCGCTCATCCCTAAAATAGATGTTGAATATATAAACGTGTATACAAGTGAGATTCTTATTTACCTAGTTCATAAACCTCTGTGAGGTGGGAAGAGAGCTGCACTGAATTGCTCCAAGTTTATGATAGAGGATGAACAACTGCTTCCCATGGGGAATTAGGAGTTAAGTAAATGACACTAAACCGCAGTGGGATTTCCTATCTTCAAAGACGTAAAGCACACGCACTGAAATGTTACTTACACATTTTGAAAACCTGGAAAACACCCTGCAACGTGACTGTGTGAAACAGCAGGCTTAAAACGCAAGGGGAATATGTAAGACACCGAAAGACAACCGACACCAGTGAGATTCCAGTGTGAGAATGAAACTATTGCTTCATTTGCTATCCTGCAAGTTGCCCAATTTTTCTAGAACTGAAGGAACTATCAGGCAGCCACAAGATGAACCAATATAATGTCTGTCAATGAGAGTATGTATTTATCCAGCAAGGAACCATTCAACTCATCTGTATACTGCTGCCAGAGTTCTTTGGCTCATTTCACACCCTGGATATCAAGCCTGGGGTTATAAATATCTCTAATGGACTTAGCAACAGCTCCCTACAATCCTCTCAGTGACAGAAGTTTGCTTTCCTGATGCCCGAGACCTTTGGCATGGATGGGTTTTGACTTACAGCCGTGTTTCTTTCCTGAAAGCAGCACAATGCAGACTCAGACACTTCACATCCTCACTCAAAGCACTCAAGCCTAAACACGCAGGTGATTTCCTTCCCTGGGCTCACTCAGGCTGGGTCTCCCTGCTCATGCCATCAGTGTGAGCCCCTGAAGGGCTGTGTCACCACAGACTGCCACAGCCACCCAACGGGGCTGTGCTTGGGTCTTGCACTGGGACAACAACCCAACAGTCAGTGCATGGGGGCATCACACCAACCTACCCCAAGTGACTTCTGCTCTTCAGTTCTCTTTCAACAGGTTCTCTTTCAAGAGCTTGCAGCTCAAAATCTTCCCTCTGTGCAGCCCTCTAATTCCTCCTCATTGAGAAAAGTTGGTACTGAACCACAGCATCATGAACCTGAAGCCAACTAAACACATGAGCAGCAAATATGCTGAACATTTAAAAACCCAACTGATGTTTCTGTTCTATGTGTTAAATTCTCAAACCCCCTTCTTTCCTGAATTCCTTCTACAGTTCCAGTAAACCCAAAGAGTGGGGGGAAAGAAATCCCGCATCCTTCAAAAGAGAAATACACAGCAAAGAGGGACTAAATGGGATTCTCACTGAACAACGCATGAGACAGGAAAACAAGGAATGAAGGAGCTGTTAAAAAGCAGCAGCAGAGGAGCTACAGCTGCAGTAAATCCCCATTTTCCTGCATCCCCACACCCCAAGCTGTCAGGCACACCACCCTGTAAGTACTGCTCTGACTCCATGGCATGGGTAGGGTGTACCTACAGGAGAAACATTCCTGTGAATGACTCACTTCTCTAAGAGCATGCCTCCATGAGCTTTTCACTTGGGGAACTACCCCCCCACATGCAGTACTACTGCTTTACCTGCTTTTCCCCAAAGTGCTGAAGGAAATGAGGTGAGGCCCATCTAATGACAGGGTTTAAGACTTCCTGATACATTGGATGGAAAGGGTGCATTTGTTTCTCTCTCTCATCAGTTTCTCTCACACTGCAATGCCCATGCCTCTCCCAGGCAGACCAGAGGCTACAAGCTCTCCCTGCACCTTGGAGAAGGTCCCAAGTTCCCCAGCACCAGCAGAAGGGATATGCAGAGCTGGAGAGAGCTCGGGCACTCACCCAGCCACGCTCCATGGGGCTGAGATGGACTCTGAGCTTCTCCTGGGAAGTGAGAAATAAATGGAAGAGGAAAGGATGGAACGTGTAGGACAAGAGGAACCGGCCTCAAGCTGCACCAGGGCAGGGTTAGATGGAGCTGAGGACCAATTCCTGCCCCAGAGGGTGCTCAGGCATTGGAACAGGCTGCCCAGGGCAGGGCTGCAGGCACCGGCCCTGCAAGTGTTCACACCCCATGGAGACGAGGCCTCAGTGCCATGGGTTAGGGGTGGCCTTGGCAGTGCTGGGGGAAAGGTGTTTTCCAACCTGGCTGATTCTACAGTTCTATCGCATCAGCTCTGCTGGGACCCTCAACAAGAGAGCTTCTGCTGCTACAGATGACATTAACCTCCCCCTGTGGACATGGCCTGTGTTGAGGGAGTATGTTTTCCTACTGCCATAGCACACCTCCTTCTCAAGCAATGCAACTCCACGGCATAAGGCTCCCTGTGCCCATTCATCAGCTTTGGCCATCACGGGGCTGATGATCAGCGAGTGTGAAAAATTCACACTGCAAAACAAAGCATGCTGAAAAAAAGCTGTGGAATACATGCCATTAACCATCACAACATTCTTCTTGCATTCCTTCCACAGCATTTCTTGAAACATTTCTTACACAAAGCCAAGAAGGCAGTAAAATTTGTTCTTTTTTCAAGATTTTTGAGTGAGTGTCAACACGTGCTGTATATGCTGTAGACAGAGATGGATATGTGCCCAACGCACACAAAGCTGGGAACCATCCCCAAAGCTGACAGCATCAGTGACAACTGATGTCTGGCTTTGAATCTGTGAGGTACCAGTGGCAGGTTCAGCATCCCACCATCAACCAGTTCAGATAATGCGGACTTCACTGCTGAGAAACTGTGCTCCCTTCTCCAGGGATTTGAGGACACACAAGCTGGAGCACAGCAGATGGATCCAGAGAAAGAGGAGCCAAACCCAAGTATTTCTTCCGTTTCCTTTTAAACAAATAATGCCAGTCATGTTTCATCAGCACATTTCCTTACTGTGACGTGACCCAGATTTCGAGTATGAAGAAACATCCCAACAAGACGATGTGCTCATGGAGCTGGCTCCAGTCCATTCACACTGGTGATGCTTTCAAGAAACACGAGATCTCATGCTAGTGTACACAGAAGCCTGAGGCACCATGGAAAATGGACAAGAAGGTGGTAAGCCTTTGCCTGGTGGGGAGAGAGAAATACGGGACAAATGATAATCCTTGTGTGATGAGATACCTGCCTGGACTCACAACAAAGCCAAGGAAAATGACTTACAGATAAAGCCTTTCATGAGGACAGGCCCCAAAGCGCTTCACAGACTTGAAGGAAATG